TGTTGCTCCATATCTGGATACAGCTTATTTATCATCATTAATCATTTTAATGGCCATGTAGGAATCTATGTGGATTTGTTTTTTCACCATTACAGTGCTATAGTAAATGTCCTTGTATATCATTATGCACATATTTATTTAGTATGGATTGTTAGAAATGGAAATTCCTGGGTCAGAGAGAATTTGAAATAGTGTCAAATTGCTTTCCATAAAAGGTTTATCAATTTTTATTGCCACCAACGTTGTACTGAGATTGCCTTTTGTTTTATTTACTTTACTGTTAACACTGAAAATTATCCATCCTTTACTTTTGTTGTTTGGGGAAAATACTACTGTATAATTCCTAGTTGTTGTTTTTTTTAAGAATGGAGCATATGCGAATGTTTTCATGTTGCCTTAGGGTTTCTTCTGTGAATTGGCTGTTTATATCTTCTCCCCATTTTATTTTTCAACTTGTTAATTTGTAGGAGTTCTGCACATGTTCAGGACTCTAATCCCTCTTTATGTATTGCAAATATTTTCTTCTTGTCATCTAGGTCTTACCTTTATTTATGGTGGGTATCTTTCATTATGTAAAAATTAGTTTTTATGAAACAAAGTTTTTTTAGTCTTTAGTGGCTTTTGGGTCTTGCTTAGAAAGGCTTTTCTAATTAAAAATTTAAAATATATTTATAAATATCTTGTGTTTCCTTATAATGTTTGTTTTGTTATTTTTATATTTGATTGGCTATTAAATAATCTGGAATTGATTTTTATATGTGATGTAACATAGAAGGTGGCTTTTTAACCCCTACATAGACTACTGACTCCTCAATAATATTTATTGAATAGGTTGTCATATTTTACACTCATTTAAAATGCCACCTTTGTCATGAACTAAATTCTGAAAAAGTAATGTGGTGGGTTGTGGGCATGATGTCTTGTTCTAACATATATCAAAAGATTTCCAGTCTTTTGAGACATTCCACAGTGTGTACCTCAAGGGATGTTGTTAATTTTCAATGTCAGATTTTTAGTTTACCATATAGTTTTATTCATTATTCCAATCACAAATATTTAGTGTTTTCTGTGTGTTTTGGTATGGTGCTGAGGTAGGCCCTGAGAATATAAAGACTACAAGTAAGACAGTCTCTTCCACCAAGGAGCTCACTGTCTAAAAGAGAAACAGATGCATACACCAAGTATTGTGACAAGCAGAATACATAAGGCATAGTGGCAGCACAGAGTGGAGAATGAATACCTGTTTGAGAATGTTCAAGAAGGCATAATTAAGAGAAAGCATAGTCCAAAGCCATGGACATAGAAAACAACTTTTGTTCTATTCCTAGAATTGCAAGTAGTTTAATATTGCTATAGGAACTTGTATGCTTCTATACTTTGCTATGGTTGCTGCACCAGCTCTCCACCTCCTTTCAAAAATTTTTTTGAAGTTAAACAGTGGTCTCTATTAAATGTGGAATCATTAGAAGGCTAGGTACACAGTGGCACATGAACATGTATAATGTAATATTTTTATGGGAGTTTGGGAATATTTAGTATTAGTAATTGATCATTACTAATCTGATTAATGTGCTTATAATTTCATGATCACTTAACTGCCTACAGCAAACATGTCTGACAAAGAACTAAAGAAGCTACGTAACAAACAAAGAAGAGCTCAAAAGAAAGCCCAGCTAGAAGAAGAGAAAAAAAATGCAGAAAAAGAAAAGCAGCAGAGAAATCAGAAAAAGAAGAAAGATGATGATGATGAGGAAATTGGAGGTCCAAAAGAAGAACTTATCCCTGAGAAACTGGCCAAGGTACTTCATAATAATGTTTAGCACAATTGAATGAAATTTCATGACCAACTATTGTCATTTTATACTCTTAGTCAACCAATTTGATTACAGATTTTAGAGCAAAAAATCATTCTGAATTTAATCTTTGATTTTTTTTCCCCCCGATCATATTTTACGTTTAAAGCTTAGAATAATTGTGATCCAGAGTACACTAGTATGGTGTAGGAAAGTTCTGGCTTTTGAGTCATTCTGATCTGGGTCCACATGTCAGCCCTTAGACTTCACTGTGTCTTGGACACTGTCTAACCTCTCTGATGTTTTCCTCATCTATAAAATGAGATTAGGGAAAATCCCCACTAGAGATGTTGGGACGAGAGAAAATATATGTATAAAGAATGTAGTGCCTAAGTGATAACATGCAAGTTTTTATATATAGATTCAACTTGTTAAAAAGTGACTTTTGTATGTGTATCTTTCACCCATGTTGTCAGTTTACAATATTTCTTTATTGAACTATGAGATTTGAACCTAATATCACAAAAATCCCTAAATATTTTTCCCCAAGCTAAAATCTTATCTGCCATTTTAAACCATTAAGCTAAAACCAAGGTATTTGTTGTCACGTGAACCATTTTGATTAACAACATACCTGTGTACTTTTTTTTCTGGCCTTTGACATCCTCCTACTCCATGTGAAAATAACTGCATAATTTATTATGTTAAAGCAATATAGTCATAAGCACATTGCCCCAGGTTCAGCTTTAGCTTCACTAGTAACTAAAAATTCAAAAATCATTCATTGCTTTATATACAAAGGAAAATGATAATACCTAACAAATACAGATGGAAAATAATTTTAAATTATACCAGAGCAGATGGATAGAAATATCTCCTTAAATAGCATTATTGCTATTTAAGAACCACAGAGAAATCTAGCTGGGATTTTACAAGGATATATTGACATCTTTTCACAAATAATTATGTATTTTCTAGGAACAAAGATACTACCTTTATTGTTTTGAGGAGTTTAGGAAGAATATATAGGGAAGTGAGTAAGCACAGAAAATTGACATTTTAGGCCTCAGGGAGGTTTGCAGAATTATTCAGGGATAATACTAACTTTAGGGGCCCTCCATATCCATGTCTCAACTTTATTACTTGCACTTTTACCGCCATAACTGTCTGCCTGCTACCATTATTCTTTCTACTTGCTTTCTCTCTATCCCATGGCTTTCCTTAATGATTTTTACTTGATAACTCTTCATGTCTTGCATTATAGTTCTTAAAGAGAGGACCTATTTGGATTATTTAGCCATTGTCTAATATAGAGTACCCCCACAGAGCAGAATCGTTATACCAGGTCTCCTGTAGGCTATTGGGTTTTCCTTGTGTCCAGCCTAGAATGGCTGCCTTGGGGCCAGATGTCAAGTTGTAGCCTAATCTTAGCTAGAGGGTTATAGAGTCTCAGAACAAAGTAATGCCTACAAAATGTGCTATATTTGGAAGGAGCCGAGTGGAAGGCACCCAGCTTTATGGACTGCTCTTCAGTATATACTGTTCTTTTAGGCATGTGACACCCTTCTCTTCCTAGGACAAGTGTTCCAAGATGCCCCCATCTAACAGTGCCCACTTACCCACTCCTCAGTTCAGTGGCAATGTCACATTACATCAAGCCGTCACAACCAAAAGTGGCATTGTAGGCCGCTTTAAAAGCTGCCTGCCAAGTCTGGATCTATAATCCATGCTTGGTTTTTTTTTTGTGATACTGGATTTCAGCATTTTCCCATGTGGTAAATGGTAAATTGAGTGTCTCTAGTTCAGGATTATATACATATAAGCATTATTAAATTAGTGATTCTAGTGAAGGCAGATAACAAGAGGTTTAGTTAGTGAGTTGAATGCTCAGTTGACTGAGTATAAATCTGAAGTCTTGGCGGACGCTGTGTTGCTTGTTTCTCCGCCGTTTTCCAAGGCAGTACTCGGTATTTGAGTGCCCTCACGCACTGCGCATCTTCCTCCTTGTCTTCAGTGAGCAGTCATCTCGGCTGGATTTTTTTCCTATAATGCAAACAGACATTCCTTACCAAGGGTAATGAGTCTTTAGTATTCTATCTGAATAGTTTTAAACTTTTTTGTTTGTGCTAGGAGTGTAGGGAGATATACTCCTGTACAACTTATCTTAACACACAGATTAGATTTCAGATTAGTTTATATATCAATATGATCAAAACTGCCGCTGCAAATGTCTTACATTGCCCATCAATACAGTGTAATTCCAGCCTACATTTATTTAACTTAAGTAAACTCAAATCTTCATGACAGGATTTTTTTTTTCCTTTGGAGAGACGGCAAAGAGTATGCATAATGCTGACAATTCCATCCATCACTCCACGCTGTGAACATGGACTGCAGCTGAGTGTGAGAGGCGGGAGGTCCGACTCGCGTTTACTCTGCCTCTCAGCTCTTGTGTGCCTCTCCTAGTGTGGACATCCTGATACACTGATTATGGTTTGGGTACTTAAATACCTGGTTTTCATATACGTTAGGTCAACCAGTGATATATTCATATCTGTATATCTGTCTTTACAACTTCAGGGATTTTCAAGGATAGTTTTCTAAATAAGGAAAAAATATTCTTATTTCCTTTTTTTGTCTTAAGCACTGATTTTTGAACCTTATCCCTGTTTATATGCATATATATATACACACACACACACACACACACACACACACACACACACACACACACACACACACACACACACACACCCATACTGCATTATGTATGTGTAAATACACAATGTAGTTAGGTTTATTGCGTTTACATGCATA